ATAATAATAATAATAAGTGGATTTTCTTTGCTTAAGCATAGATACAAGAATAAAGTAATGTGTGTGTACATATTTTCTGTTGCATAGATTTGGACAACAATGACACTGCAACAACAACAATAACAGCAAAAAAATGTTCATTTTAACAGGTAGGTAGAGAAAAACAAAAGAGCAAAAGAAAAGAACAACTGACTGACTGTAAAATCCTACAAAAAAAGAACCTTAAAAATTGTAACATTTTTTTAAAACAAGTAGTTAACCTCTAAGAGTTGGTTGCAAAAGAGGCGCTGTGAATGAGTATTTCTTTTTCTCAATTACTACAACCTGATTTATTCTATGAGACATACAACTAACTAATTAACTGATTGACTGAATTTTAGCATAGAACTAACTTTGCACAGAAGTGCAACATATTTCAAGTTGTCACACCCAATACAGCAGTACATAAGGGTAGAGAAAGAAAGAAAGAAAGTAAAGCGAGAGATTCAAAAGAACCACACAATGAGAAGAAATGTACAAGAAGAAAGAATTAGCAGCATGGAGAAAAAACAAGATTACAAAACGGCGAATGCATCTGTGCCATTGAGAACGACTTTAAGCTATATCACACCAATAGTCGTCATCTTCAGACACATTGGTTCTTAGCATCCTTAGGACTTCATGAAGTATGTCTGTCTGTTTTCGACACAGAACTTTGCACCGATGTGCAACAGTTCAAGTCGCCACACTCCATCTAGCAAACAAAGCACGAGAAGAAGATAGAAGAAATGCATAATAGAGACAGTAAACAGAAGTGTGAGACAAAGAAATAGAAGTAATGAAGAACAATGTAGTTTCATTGGAAATCATAAGTCACAAAGACTGGATACATCTGCACCATCCATTGACAAGGATTTTGGGCCATATAATCGATTGCTTCCAGCCATTGGTTTTTCCCCTCCTGAGGACCCCAACCAGTTAGGCAGTCTACACCTTCCTACGTGACTGGCTTAAGCTAACTGTTGTAGATTTCATTGACTGGTGCGATGTTTTGGTATGACCACCGCTAGCTCTTTTCCAGCCTGTCCGTATGTCAGCTAACATAAAGTATGAGTATACAAAGCACTGAAATGTTATTAAAGTAATGAGAAGCCACTTCGATAAAAATGATTCGAAAGTGTTTATTAAATCAGATTTTAGGGGCAAACTTTCGCGAGATGACATTTCGATTAAACGTTGTACAATTGCATTTAAATGTACTTCGTATTCGTTTCTCTATAGAAGTGTATGTATGTCGCGCTATGTCATAAATTAGCAGAAATTAGAATTTATGTGCCATTGGATCGGGTCCCAGTGGCTTAATCGTCTACGAGTTCGCCTTTTAACCAGAAGGTCCTAAGTTCGAACCCTGGCGGTGCGTACCGATGAAGAGTCCCAAACTAGGACGAAGCAGCTGTCCAATACTCCCTGTAGGTTTTTCAATGGTTCGCTTACTGATGTCAGCTCATGATGAAATCCCGTAAAAAATACAACATACCACCCAAACGCAATAAAAGGCTGAAAAGGTGAATTTTCGGTAGAGAGCTTTTGCTGTCTAGATAACAGACAGAGGACTAATCGGAATACATACATAAATATGCAAAAGATGATTTTGTCCATCTATTGAATTACTGGTAAATTTGAAGATTTGACAACAAGTAAGGGATCAGTTTTCAAAGAAGTTTGAGAAACTATGGAGACCCACGGCACGAAAAGATAATTTCAAATCCCCCATGAAAAGAATTCTAGTAATATGCACAAAAATAAGTGCATATAATATACCACTCCCTGAAAGAAAGAGAAAATCAGAAAAAAGTAACTTCTTATCTTGAGACAGATTTAGAAGCGGACCGGTTGTGATTTCCTGAGACCTCTCCACTTTATCGGTAATATCTCATTTGCAAGTTCTTACTTCGGAGTTGACTGATTCTATATCATCTATTGCAGACAACTTGTCAATTCCAAGAATTAGATCGAAAGGTATCTTGGACTCTGTGAACACCGATTGGCGCTGTCGTATTTGGTTTCTATGCCTCATCCACATTTCATGTAGTGCCTTGTCTTTCTGAAGCACTGATCAACATTAGCTTTTTATTCCAACCTCTGCCCACCTTTCACTTTAAAGTGCATAGTCACATGCACAGACCGAGTCGCTCCTGTGGTGACAGTACCACGACATAGTGATGTGTATTTAGTGTCCGTCCAGTTAAAACCTCTGTCGGACTTTTCTTCTAGACAGACACATCACTACGTGTTATCTGGCATACAGGAAGAAACCAATGGATGATTATGAGTGTACCGCCTCCCGTTGCTTTCATCATATTTCTCTTAAAGTTGTTATTTATTTCGCAGTGATACGGCAGGAGCCAGATACACATTGTATAGAGCTACAATTGGGGATGGAGTTCACAATACTCTGCTTGCCTTGTTCGAAACTTAATAAGTGCAATAGCGCTAAGTAGTACAAAAAACCTAAACGCTGAAATGAAACATATAGAAGAGGCGTTGGTGTTAAATAACTATCCTATAAAATTCATTAGGAAGATCAAAAACGGTCAGCTGTAAAATAAAAATAATGGTGAAACTAATTATGATAACGTAAACAGGAAAGAATATAAGACGTCTACAGTTATACGATATTAGGAGGGGACATCTGAGGCCCTACGTGGGATTTTCAATAAAGCAGGAATTAGGGTGGCATTCAAACCCACAAACTCACTCAGAGACAAGCTCTGTAGGTAAAAGGACCCTGTCGGTTGACTCAAATAGACAACATAATATAATAATATATAAAGTACCTCGCAATGACTGTGAGTGTGGTCTACTACATAGGTCAAACTAGTAGATGGGGGTAGTCAAATTGTCGGGACATAAGAATTTAGCTAAGGTAAGAATGGTTGACCCCGGGAAGATAAGTAATTTAGAAAAAGCTCAGCGATTGCACTACATGAATTAACACACAACCACGCAATAGGGTGGGTGGGACAGAGTCAAAATTCTAAGAAGTAATACAGGTAGGTGGAGAGAGATTGATTACTGAATCCTTCTTGGGTCATCGAGTCTAAACCTAATGCCTGCAACAGAAATGACTCAACGCAAATGCCAGAGATATGGAAGATATTATTACCATCAGTCAAATCAGAGGATAAAAAATAATGTTAAAATATATTTCAATTCACGTATATTATAACATTCTAACAAGTTACTTATTTCTATTGTAGGAAACACTTTATTTCGCATCTTATTGTATTTTATTGATAACACATTATTTTTCAATGTACTTTATCTTACATTGAGTATATGCAAATGTTCAATCAATTTTTTACTCACGTATATAAATGAAGCAAAAAAGTTGTGTGAGTACGTCAATATAATTATAAGCAGTAATAAATTGTGCTTGGAACGTAGTCATCAGTGAACATTACTGTATAACACTGTGTGGTTTTATCAAAATAAAATCATATCCATAATGTAGTTATACTCTACCACAGTGCCCAAGTTTTATCCCTATATCAACAATAAGAATGGAACCTGTGAAATGCTGACTGAAGACTAAACATTCGTAATAAATATCGACAACCCTACAATAGTAACTAAATCCCACAATACCTTACTTAGTATATCTAAGCTTTACAGATGAAATAGGCAGTAATAATACAGGATTTAGTATTCGTGGATATTTGTCGAATTCACCACATTTTATATCTGCACATCAAACAAGAAAAAACTTATATAAGCAAAGAACATACACTGTTCACTGTTTACCACAAGAAGAGAAGAAAAGGCAGACAAAATAGAAAGGTATTATAAGCAGGAAAAAGACAGGGCGTGAATGGATAACTGCATAACTGTGGTCGATTATATGACTAATAATTTCCACCAATATAGATAGAAATTCCAATTGTTTTACGAAATATTCATTGACGCAATCGACTGACTGACGACTGATTAACTGTTTTCAAAACATAGAACTTTGCACTGATGTGCAACAGTTCAAGTCACTACACTCCATGTAGCACACAAAGCAAGAGAAGAAATGCATAATAGAGACAGTAGACAAAGATATGAGATAAAAGGGACAGTAATAACGAGGAGCAATTCAGTTTCACTGGAAATTCTAAGTCACAAGGTGTGGATGCATCTGAACCAGTCATTGACAAGGATTTTGAGCCATATCATCGATTGTTTCCAGCCATTGGTTTTTCCCCTCCTGAGGACCCCAACTAGTCAGGCAGTCTACACCTTCCTACGTGGCTTAAACTAACTGCTGTGGATTTCATTGAATGATGATGCCATGTTTTGGTATGACCGCCGCTAGCTGTTTTCCAACCTGTTCCTATGTCAGTCAGGAAACATTGCCCGTCGAGGAAGGCGATGGCTAAGCATGCATGCGTAACACATGTCCTAACTATCTCAGTCTATGTAACTTCACAGCCTCGTCTAATGATTTTCCTTCTTTACCTAGCACTCGATGCCTAACCTCAATATCGCTCATCCTACTTTATATCATTTCACACGGGAGATATAACGTAGGCACCTATGATCATAGAAGAAATCGGCGGAAAAGTAGTTTAAAGGTAGTCTCAATACCTCTCAATACAAGTTTTTATTCCACTTATACACTTCGATATTCAAAGCCGAGACAAAATCATTCTTTCTTACATACTTGGTGATACTTACTGTCCACAAAGTGAGTTCGTACTTGAAACTACTCAAAATGTACTGAGTAACAACATGCAGATATAAACACTTATTAGTTTAAATAGTCAACTGTTGGTTTGAAGATTTCATTGGTTACATGTTTGACCATGAGCTGATAACAGTTAGAGAACCGCTAGAAAGCCCGGGAGTAATGGACAGCTATTTCATCCCAATTTAAGACTCCTCATCAGTACGCATCCACTGGGGGGTTTGAACCCATGATTTTTTGGTTTATTTTTTTTAATTGGGATATCATTGAAATTTTGACGAGAAACACTTACACTGCGTAATTCTTTTTCAGTTGCATAATAGAACAATTCATTTGCAATCTGTCCAAAAGAATCAATTAAATTTTCATATAATAAATCATTTTCTTGTTCACAGATTGAAATAAAAGTTGGAAGTAAGTTGACAGCATAGAATCTGTAAGGAGATATAACAACAAACAAAGTTAATATTATGTAAACAAAAAATGATAAAAGAAAATATGTAGCGTTTGTAACATAAACTTTGATATAGTAAATTCTTCTGTCTATCTTGAGATGAGTTAATTTAAAAAAAATAACTTTCAATTATATTTTAAACCAACCCGTATAATGAATAGGGTCAGTCGTGCATCGGATGATCACACGATATCCACTTTCGCTGTGAGTCAGTTGCTTAGCGGTAGGAATGCTTGCCAGCCACGCATGTTGTCCAGGGTTCAATCCTCCCACCCACCCCCAGTCGATGCACTCCCCTTACCTCGCTAAATAATAAGACCGATAAAGATGGAAGGTTGGACATGAAGCTAGCAACCCCCCACCTCACCCCGTAAAAATAAACACAACTGCTACCAAAACTTCGAAGCTCTGGCTGAAAGCCCTATCTTTCACTGGCTATATTGCACTACAATTAATATTGATCATAATGTGATCTACCCGATACGATAAAAATCAACCAAGAAAACAAGCGAAATAATAATAGCATGGTATATACTATTGATTGATATAAATAGGTGAATATCCCTAACGACAATCATTAGTGCTTACAAAGTCAGGTTATTACTGATCCGGCCACCATCAGTGTAGTGCGCCTGGACAGATTAATCTTAAAGAGATGAATTAGGTTCAAATCAGGCATTGGTTTGTAGGGATATGGTTGATTGGTTACAGGATTTCATCATGAGCTGACGTCAGTTAGAGAACTATATTAAAACATGGGAGTACTGGACGGCTATTTCGTCTGCCTAGTTTGGAACTCTTCATCAGTGAGCACCCGCCGACACTGTTCGAACCCAGGACCTCCTGGTTACAAGGGGAGCTCGTATACCATTAAGCCACTGGGACCCGATCCAATGGCCAATCCATGAATTCTAACTTCTGTCAATTCACGATATAGCGCAACCACTAGTCAATGTTTTCGGTGAGTATTTGTCCTCACACCCGACCTGCTGCACCCTACCGGTCACGACTTCAAATCGCCTGAATTCTAGCTAGCCACTTGGTTAAACTGATAGTATGCATATCGAACAATATTTCTCATTTGCAAATCTCACGGTGTTCAAGATGAAAACTCACAGCTTATTCGCATTCAGTAAGTAAATACTGATATTAAAACTTTACAGAAAAAATTGAATGTCTTAGTGTACTTTCAAAAAACCCAACTTTAACTAACCTCCGTTTCGTTGTTCTAATTTGTGAAGATAATGCAGCAAATTTTGACATAGCAACAGATACAGATCTTGGATTATGATTACGTTTCAATTCCATAAACAGTTCAAATAAAATTAGATGCGACATACTTGATCGAAGAAACTGTAAAATAGTCAACAAGTTAATTTAAAAGAGACGGAACTATAGATTGTATAAGATTCAATAAGCTAATATGTGTGGATCGAAAAGACAATTTTTTCAGTTCCAGAAAAATATGTTTCAACCAAAACAGATGAAAAAAACTCAGACCAACTCAACAATCATATTTAAATTTGTACATCAGCCTACAAGTTACATCCACTTGGTTGAGGGACTTGATTATGGCTTTGTTGATAAAAATAAGTGTATGGACTAATGAATCCCACACTCACACACACACACACACAACCTAGAGTCAAGTTACCCTTGAATGTGTTATGAAAGCCCAATATATGTAGGAGTTGACCGAAACGGATGACTGTACAGAATGATTCAGTAGCAAAATCCCTGTGGAGGGGTGGGGATACATAGACGTTGATGAAGAACTGCATCTTCTCTGAGGAATGCTGATAGCAAATGACTCCCCACCTAGATTTATAAACAAGAACTTCCATCTTATAAACACAGCTGAAAAGGTCGACGTAGACCATGAAGAGATTCTGTGGCTGAATTATGAATTTGAAGAAAAATGATTCTTAGACAGAAATTTTCTGAAGATGGCTTTCAAAATCTAGTAAATTATACTTTGCTGCCAGTCTCTGAATAACATTTGGATACCAAACACTATTCTACCGGTATTTGAGAAATAAGCAATCGCACTGGATAATACCGATATGCATTCATCCAGCAGTTCACTTGTTTCTGTAGAGACGAGAACATTAACCGTATCATGTGTGCACACGTAAAATGCGTTCCTAAACACTAACATAACATAACATAACATAACAATTTCGCTTTATTCCAGAAACAGTACTTGTGGTACAGTGTGGAATTTTCAGCACATATCTACAATATTGCATCTAATTTCATCGTACATTTAAAAGGAGTATTATAAAAAAAATAAAATATAATAAAAACCAAAAAAAAGAAACAGAAATAACCAAAAAAAATGCAAATAAAAATACTGAGTAAAAAAGAAGACGAACACAAATAATGAAAAAAAATATTTCAGTATTAGTTAGTGGAAGCTACGATATGTGTATGCGTGGTGAACAGTAACAGCTATAATCATACGGGAAATTATGAGATGTTCTTAAAAAAATTGTTTATAGCCAAGATGATCAGTTAATTTGATTGAACAACACTAAGCAATCATAAGATAAACATTTCAGGTTTTTTTTTGTCAGTACTAATGCGGTTGTTTGTAGTGGCAGTGTGAGGAATCATGCATAATACAAAATTTTTAAGATGGTGATAGTGGCAATAACAAACAAGATTGTCAGTTAAATAGTGCCGAACAAAGAACAACCACAAAACTAATGTTACATGATGGTTAATGACGGGACAATTTTTAATAATCATAGTGATAATATAGTCGGACCCAGTAGATGTACAAAGAAGGAATAGAATAAAGAATAAAAATGTAAGCCAATGATAATAATTTTAAGCAGCTAAGTATGTTTAAGAAGGTTGTTCACTATAGAGTACAAATAAGAGAGTGTAAGGGGGAAAAAAAACAAGGGCCAAAATTATGTTATTAACAACAAAGCAAGTCATAGGTTTCACGTCTAACATTGTCTCTGTCACTTAGAACACGGGCCAAATATGGTATCGTTGAGTTCCTATACTTGGTTGTGCGAGCATATATTATTTTATACTGATTTCTGGTTCTACCTGATGAGATGCAGGGAGAGAGTTGGGAATAGAGGGGGTGTTGGGGGTCAGAGAGTATGGTTTTAGACCATTTCTCACATGTATTCAGATGCTTATCCACTAATGTTGTGACGAGCTGACTGAGTTTTACACCGCTAGTCCTGCTAACTACCTTCAACATCCTTCTCAGGATGGTATAATCCTTTTTCAGTAACCCAGGAAAGACTAACGGGGAACAGTAAAGTAGAATAGGTAGGATACGAGAGTTGACAAATTGTGAAAGCAGAGGTTGAGGGACTCCAGTTAGTCTGAGTTTCTTAATGTAGTAGGTTAGACGAAACACTTTCTTGGAAATCATTTGGATATGAGATGACCAAGTAAGGTCGGAAGATATAACTAATCCGAGGTATTTTGCATTAGACTTTGTTTCAATTATAGTCCCCTCAATTCTACAGACATCATGAGTGCTTACTAGTGTTTGTAGATCTCGTTTATGCCTAAAGGAGAAGTCGACAGTCTGGCATTTTGAGGGATTCAGCGTTAGGCCATTTATTTTAGACCACTGACTGATGTCCGACAGGAAGCTATTTAATTTGAAGCAGTCTGACTGAGACTTAACGGGAAGCGAAACAGTCAGGTCATCTGCATATTTGACGAAGTTGATTTCGTCTGAGAGAGGTAAGTCATGTAAGAAGAAGGAAAAGAGAAACGGCGAGAGAACAGCACCCTGAGGAACACCAGCTTCAGTAAGCAAAGGAGAGGAAGCTACACCATTATATACCGTGTACTGCATCCTATTGGAGAAGTAAGAGTGCAGCCAGTTGATAGCCCAGGACTCAGTTTGTGTAAGGCTAAGCTTGTTTAACAAAAGGCCTCTAGGTACAGAGTCAAAAGCAGATGTGTAATCAAGGAAAGTACAACGGACATACTTGGCCCCTTTGTCTAAGGAGGATACAATGTTGTGATGAAACACTGCAGCAGCATCCAAAGTACTTCTACCCTGTTTGTAAGCAAACTGCTTTGGATCATTTGAGAAGCTTAGGGAGGGAATGAGTTTTTGTAAGAGTAATTTCTCCATCAGTTTCAAGAAAGGAGAGGTAATGGCAATTGGTCTAAACTTAACACTATCTCCAGAACCAGACTTGGGTACAGGGATGATTTTAATATCTTTCCACAGAGAAGGTACATTATTATTAGAAAAAGAAGTATTGAAAATGCTTGTAAGTGGGTTACTTAAAATATCAGCACATTTCTTTAAAACAATGGCAGGTATACCATCAGGGCCTAGACTCTGGGAAGGTTTAAGAGATTTCAAACATTTAAGAACATCAGAAGTATTGAAACGATGAAAGTCACTGGTCGTGTTATTAGTTAAATTGAAGGCAGAAAGGACATTTGGAGGGCGGATGAAAGATCTATTGAGAGTATTTACATCAATAGAAGAGGCAAAATTATTATGCTTACCACAACCAGTAATTTCTCTAAAAAGCTTCCATATGTTTTCTGATGTTTTACAAGATAGTATTGTTTGATTATAAATGTTGTTTAGTCTCTTGATTTCAGATTTAATTTGGGTGTTTATCTTCTTAAGACCAGATTTATTCTTTGTCTTGTACAGCTTCTCTTTTTCTCTACGAAGTTTTTTGAGATGAGGGGAAGAAAAACGATCCATTCTTTTGAAAATTATCTGTTTTGGACAGCATATATCAAGACAGAATTTAAGATAGTCAGTCAAATTGGAAATAGTATCATCCAGTTTGTGTTCGTTGAAAAGTTCCCAGTTAGTGTCATTTAGCATACATCTTAGTTTGAGCATATTTTCTTGTGAGTAACACCTTTGCTGTGTTCTCTTGGACAGATTTGAGAAGATATTAAAGTGAGATCTGCTGTATATCTTAGGTAATATCCGAATAATACAATGATCTGAGTTCATGATAGGAGCACGTCGGCGTACTTCATATATATTACCAACCCTGACTAGTAAATAGAGGACGGGAGTATCTTTAACTCAATAACAGAATTTCTTGTGAACTCAGAACACTCAGCTCCACTTGACAAATTCTTCAAGATCTAATCAAACCTCACAATGTGAGATCAAGGCATCTAAGCCTAGCTGAAGCTTTAGTGAACTAAACCTTTGAGCCAACCCTATGTGTTCAAAAGAAATACGAACAACCTTTGTCTCTGACATCACCATTATAACCAGTTTATTTTTCTGAAGAAAGTCATTATAATTTAACTATGATTTTATTACTTTAATCCATATATACATTACAAAACTTCATCTTCGTCCCACTTTGACCTATGACCGGAGACATTGTTGGAGCTTTCTCACCCCTTTTTTCTGAATTAAGGAATGTGCAGTTTGGTTGATGACTTTATTGAGTTGAAATTTCTTTTTTGGCCGCAACTATCCCATGAAGATTTCGATGACTTTGTGATGTGTTGGACACTAATGGCAAGGTTGACAAAGTAGTATTTAGTAGATAGTCATTCTTTTCTGTCTTATCGATATTTAGCCTTTACCGTCTAATAGAGGCTCTTTTAATGGGACCAAGAAGCTGAATTGATACCAGCTGATGAGTAGCAGACAAAATATCAAAAGATACATAAAAAATGTTTTGTTGGAGTCTACTTAATCCCACTACCTGTGATAATAGATAGATAACCACACTGCGTCTTATCCCATGATTAATAAATATAATTAACTGAAGCAAAAAGACTGCAAAACCTTCAAACACTTAATCATTGTAATGCTCACAGCATCAGTCATTTGTCGTACAATTATCATATTAGTAATTTTATTTATTTTTTTTATTATCGCTTGATTCCAAAACGTATTTTTGGTACGTATGGAATTTTTAGTGTGTGATGTCGGTAGCCCAATTTTGCAGGCCGACCATTGATATCGGGTGTGAGTCGGCAGGGGATCGAAACCTGGACCATGTGCATGGTCGGTGAGAGTCCTAACCGCTGTGCCACCGACGCACAAGCAGTGAGTACTACGTAAAAAAAAACGTAAATTAATTGTCAATGTTGTGAATCACTATCGCTTTCGATCAGTGCTGCACACACACACATACGTAACCGTAGCTTTAATATGCAATAAAGTGTGAAGTGACGTAAGATCTGTCTGTCTGGATTCAACATAGAACTTGGCACCAAAGTGCGGCAGTTCGAGTTGCCACGTTCCAAATAGCACAACACAAAGGCAGACAAGAAGATGAGTAAAGGGAATCAATAGAGTTTGACAAGTATAAGAGTGAAACAGAATGGGTAGTGGTAGAAAGGAATATGAAAAATTACAGAGACTAAATACATCTGTGCCATTGACGATTTTGAGTCGTCACCTATTGTCTCCAGCCATTGATTCCTAGAGTCCCGAGGGCCCCAACCCGGGAGTCTGCGTCTCCCTACCTGACTCAGTTTAACTGTCAAGGATTTCATGGATTGATGCCATGTTTTTGTATGGCCACCACTTACTCTTTTCCAACCTGCACCTATGTCAGCTAGTAAGGCCCGTCGGTGGGGGAGTCGATGGTTAGGCATGCGCACCACGTGACCTAACCATCTCAATTTATGTAACTTTATAGCCTCGTCAACTGATTTTCCCTCTTTGCCCAACACTCGATGCCTAACGTCAACATTACTTACCTTATTAAACCATCTGACGTGAGAAAGAGATCGCAGACATCTATGATTAAAAACAGTCAACCTTTTCATGTCTTCAACTCGTACTGGCCATGTTTCAGAGCCATAGAGAAGGACGGAGCGAACTGCTGAGCAGTACACACGTCTCTTGGTTGATAACCGAATGTCACGCCTACGCCAGAGATGGTGTAAGTCAGCGAAAGCAGCTCGAGCTTTTTGGATCCGTGCTGAGATTTCGTCGCCAATCAGTCCGTTGGTACAACTGATACAACTTCCCAAATAGGTGAAGTCGTCAAGATTAAGTTATAATAAAGCTAATGACTAATCTAAAGCATACTGCCGACCTAAGAAGTTTGTCTAAACATTGAGGGCAATTGTTAGTTCTCTGGATAAAATACCCGAGAAAACTGAGACTGATGGTCGGATAAGTTAGACAGTGAGAGAAAACTGACTTTACTGATATATATATATATATATATATATATATATATATATATATAGGTAAATCCAGGACTTAATTCCATCTGAATGCTAGACAAACAATAATGTCTTCACTTCCATTCACGAAAACAGTGCCAGTAACGTGAACATTATACAAGGAAAAAAGTCACTATATTAAGTAGGAGCTGCATTGGTAGCACAGCGCTTAGGACTTTTGTCGACCATGCACATGGCCCGGGGTTCGATCCCATGCCAACGCACCTCTAATATCAATGGTCTGCCTGCGAAATTTGGGCTACCGATATCATATGCTGAAAAATCCATACTTCTACCAAAAGCACTGTGTGGAATTTAGCTATAATCAAATATTATTATTATTATGACTACAAACAATCTTTAGAGCATAATAATAATTTTTGCTTTATTCCAAAAACAGTACTAATGATACAGCAAAGGAATTTTCAGCATTCAGTACAATATTGCATCTAATTTACTCAAAAACGACAAAAAAAATTAAAAATACACATTACATAATAGTAATAAAACGATTGTTATAGCAGCTACATAGCAAAATACTGTATGCCATACGGAGAAAAATATGCATAAAGTACAAAATTGTAGTAATAATAGTAATACCAACTAAAATAAAATAGCAGAGTAATAATTAAACGATAGAAAGTGTGACACCACAGAATACAGAAAGATGAACGATGAAAGGGTCGATTTATTAAGAGTGTTTTCTTTAAAAATCTTCAATAAACTAAATGATCTCATTTTGAATTATCATGATAAGGCTAAAAGACATCATTCGGTGTGTTTTATAAACCAGATATATAAGTAAGTAATTGTAACTATTAATATGATTTAAACTAATTGAATACGTAAACGAAAGCAATAATCACAAACAATGATCAATCATTTCAGCTTAAGAGTCATTATATAAACTGTAAATTTAATACACTCTAAACACTTTTAAGTAAAATATATTTACCACACTTGAAGAAAAGCCAATTAGATTATACTACCTAGTTGATATATAGACCTCTTAACATTTATTCAAAAGTGATAATCAACTGTTCATATATTAGAAGGTTATTTTTTAAGAAGACCATGAACCACCTGAAGAGTCAACTTCATTTCTTAGAAAGAAATTAGATTTTTACAAAATCAACTTTAAAAGTTAGATGACTAAATTATGCATGACACTGATGGTGAATAATTGTCGTTGAGGAAGATAATAGTCACTTGGGAATAATCACTCCTGTTTCTGTCAGTTGGATCATCTGAAGTAGCCAATCTGACAGAGTAGTAAGAAACACACACGAAAACCATTAGTTTGACAGAATTTAAACAGGTCAAAACCAATGGTATATGAATAGCAGTTACGCCGTGTGCAGTACTATAGACCACCAATGAAAGTTAAATTAACGAACCTACTAACCTTTCAAGACGCTTGATTTGAGTTGAACTGTGATTACATCTGGATCAGTGGTTAGTATGATTAAAGAGAGTAAAGTCTACACCACTTTTCTGCATTAGGCATAAATAGGATAATCAGGGTATTGATTGAAACCAAAACCACCATACTGGTGAAACAATACTTAGCTCTGCAATCTAAAAATATGGCTTTCATAACCAGGAAAATCAGTGACTGCAAAAAAGAGAAGTTTGGAAATTGGAAAGTGGTGTATAATTATAGGTTTAGTGCGCAAATATAATATAAACGAGATACACCTCCTTCCCAACATCTATTCATCCTATGAACTATTCCATATATAGTATTATTTGTTTTGCCACCTAAAACTTTATATTTAACTGTGATTATAATCACAAACACTTTAACTGCATTTCATACTAGTATTGTTTTATGTGTCCGCGCCTCTGTTTAAATTTCTTCACAGGATATATTTTCTTAAAAACTATATATATATATATATATATATATGACTTTAAAGCTTAGAAATCACAAAAATTTGGAAAAGTCAAGAAATACCTTTATGAGTTTGTTCAAGCCTTCATCTGCAGCTATACGAACATCAGAATTAGAATCACTAAGAAATCTCAACAGAGATGACAATACAGCATTTAAGTGACGAGGTGCTGTAGACGAATCGCGCGTTTGCACTCGCAGTAGGCCTTCAACGAGATTGTGTATAATGCGAAGAGATTCAGAACGATCAAGAACTGGAAAATAATCAGATGAGGCATTTGATATTGTTTCTACAGATAAATCATTCAGAGTTGATTTTGATTCATATGACGATACAGACGATTCATCCAATTTGTTTAAGGCACCAACTGCCTGTAGCGCTGATATTAAATCCAATTCTGTTACTGGTGCAGAACTCATATTTTGTGGAAGTCTAAAAGAATAGTAATTAGACACTGAAGCAAACAAGGAATAAACATATACATGTATATAAGAATAAACTGGTAGTCTAGCTTTTCTCGGATTATAAATTCATGACCTCAGAGATGATAGACCAGTTTCAAGAAATTACTAGTTGAAGCTACTATACAGTTTAAATTTGTTCCTTTATCTATGTGATTCATTCACAGAAGAGAAAATCTATGTAGCATAGTGCAACAATATCATAAATATAGAATGTTGGAAAGAATAAAAACATGTACACTGTAGTCACTTATGACAATGTTAGTAAGTACTACCTTTATCCATTCACAATTATCATTACTAATATTGTCAAGTGCAGATTTTCTAGCCAGGATGTTGGATTGACTGAATGAAGTATCAACGCATAATTATGCACAAACGCAGAGGTTCAAGTTGCCACACTTTGGAGAAATACACAAAGGTAAAAATGAACAATGTACTGAAACTTCAATAAACGTAGGTATGTGACAGAAATTCATTAAATGATTAGTAACGATTTACAAAGTGTAGATGACAACGAGATGTCAGTACGTCTCCACAATTGTGTACCATCTCCAGTCGCTCCATCAAAAGTTACTAAAAATTAGTCGTTAACATCCTGGGAACTCAAGCTAGACGGTTTACTCTTCTTCACGTAACTCAAACTAGTCAAAGACCTTCTTGACTGCTGCAATGCTTCCTCCTGACCACTTTTAACTTTCTTTCAATCCACTCCTATTTCAGAAAATATTGTTCATCAGTAAAGGTGGTGGCTTCACATTTCTTTTTATTCCTTTACGTTCCCAGTGGAAGATAGGGCTTCTAGCTAGAGGCTTGAAGTTTCGATAGTAGTGGTGTTTATTTTTACGGAATGGGGTTGCTAGTCTGTCTGTCTGGATTCAACATAGAACTTGGCACCGAAGTGCAGCAGTTCGAGTTGCCACGTTCCAAATAGCACACAGAGGTAGACGACAAGATGAGTGAAGAGAATTAATAGAGTTTGACAAATATAAGAGTGAAACAGAATGGGTAATGGTAGAAAGGAATATGAAAGATTACAGAGATTGAATACATCTGCGCCATTGACAACGATTTTGAGCCATGTCACCTATTGTCTCCAGCCATTGATTCCTAGAGTCCCGAGGGCCCCAACCCGGAAGTCTGCATCTCCCTACCTGACTCAGTTTAACTGTCAAGGATTTCATGGATTGATGCCATGTTTTTGTTTGGCCACCACTGGCTCTTTTCCAACCTGAACCTATATCAGCTAACAATGCCCGACGGGGGAGGCGGTGGTTAGGCATGCGCACCACGTGACCTAGCCATCTTAGTCTATGTAACTTTATAACCTCGTCGATTGATTTTCCCTCTTTGCCCAACACTCTACGCCTAACGTCAACATTACTTATCTTGTGAAACCACCTAACGTGAGACAGAGATCGCAGACATCTATGATTAAAAACAGTCAACCTTTTCATGTCTTCAACGCGTATTGGCCATGTTTCAGAGCCATAGAGAAGGACGGAGCGAACTGATGAGCAGTACACACGTCCCTTGGTTGATAACCGGATGTCACGCCTACGCCAGAGATGGTGTAAGTCAGCGAAAGCAGCTCGAGCTTTTCGGATCCGTGCTGAGATTTCATCGCCAATCAGTCCGTTGGTGCTAATACAACTTCCCAAGTAGGTGAAGTGGTCAACATGTTCTATCACTTCACTCCCTATCACTAAGTTAGGGGTTGACGTCGTCCAGTCCTGTAGCAGCATCTTACATTTTGCAGGGGCGAATCGCATGCCAAACATACGAAGATTGCTGCTCAAGGTGTTCAGAAGACTCTGCATTTTGTCAGCATCCTCCCCTAACAGGACTATGTCATCTGCATATTCTAAGTCCATTAGATTATTCCCTGGTAATAAGTCGATTCCTAAGTCACTACGTTCAGTTAAGGATACTTCCATCAGGATATCTATGATGAAGTTAAACAGAAATGGGGAAAGTGGACATCCCTGTCGGACACCACTGGTTGTTACTAATTCAGATGACAATTCCCCATAAGCCCTTACACGACTACGTGAGTTTGAATAGAGTGCCTTGATTAGTGCAATGTACTTTCTTGGCACTCCCTTCACAGTCAGACATTGCCATAGTACTTTTCGGTCCACGGAGTCGAAGGCCGCCTTCAAGTCAAGAAATATGACAATTGTTGGACGCCGAAAAGTGTGTCTATGTTCTAGAATCTGTTGAAGAGTGAAGATATGATCTATGCACCCTCTACCTGGTCTAAAGCCTGCTTGATTTTCCCTTGTCTGTTCCTCCCGAGTTCTGCTTAGTCTATACATGATTACTGAGCCTAGGATTTTAGAGACTATGTTCGTTAGGCTGATCCCCCTATGATTATCACACGAGGACTTGTTTCCCTTCTTGAATATCGGTATAATGAGTGACTTACCCCAGTCTGATGGTACTGTCTCTGATTCCCAGACTTTGCCTAGTACCTCAGTTAATCTACAAACTAGTATGTCACCCCCATATTTAAACACCTCCGGAATAATTCCGTCGGGTCCTGCCGCTTTGCCTCGTTTCAAATTACTGATAGCTTTTGTAACCTCACCTACAGACGGCGGACCAGTGTCTATATCCCATTCGGGTACGTGGTGGATGGCGGGGAGGTTCAGTGTGGCTGTAGGCAAGTTAAATTGTTCCTCAAAGTGTTCTTTCCAGCGTTCAAGGCGTCTATCCTGAGAGCTAATTAAGGAGCCATTTTTCTCAGAAATAGTCTCACTTATGAATTGCCTTTTCCCGCCTCATACCCAACCATCTTTCATCACCAGTGTTATTACTGGCTTGGCGAGGTAAAGGAGTGCGCCGGCCGGGGATCGAACCTCGAGCCACATGAGTGGTTGGCGAGCATTCTACTGCTGTGCCGCCGACGCACATAGGCTTCAAAACTTTATTGACTTACTTCCACCTCCTTATCTAATTTATTTACGCTTAGCCTCATTATTAATGACCTCGCGCCATCCAGAAGGAAAAATTCAACACAGGCTTCCGTGGTCAAAAACCGTCAATTTTTTTTCATATATTTCGACTTTGCCGTAGCCATAAAGTGGGACATAGCGAATCACTGCACAGAACATACATTTTAATGGTTAGCTGTGTTTCATGCATACCCCAGAAATGACTTAAGTTGGCAACCTTTTGTGTTTGTATCGAAATTGCGTTAGCAATTAGTTCACTTGAGCTGATAGAAATACTTAAATAAGTGAACTCGTCAACCTATTCAACCATTCCTCTCCCTACCCCTAAACAAGATGTCAGTGAAGACCTTTTCTTTACTATCAAATTACAGCTGAATAGCATACTAAGATTTCTATTCAAGAAAAATATATTTCATCAGTGTATTTACCTGTACCTGAAGGGGCCGTAGTATTTGCATGCTCTAAATTAATACAAGATTCCTCTGGAAAAAAATCGATCAAACATGAAAGCCAACCAAAGTAACCACCATCAGTACATCCATAATAGAATTAAATCAGAATGGTGAGTGTTTATCCAAGATCTACACTAGTTCTCTTAACTACGGATAAAAAATCTCTGTAAGCTCCTATACAGATTCGTAAGTTCATATGGAGTGTCTTGATTAGTGCAGTATACGTCTTTGATACTACGGCTAACATACTGTCATAACAATTCTTGACCGATGGGGATAAATGCCACCCTCAAGTTAGGAAAAAATATGGCAAGTGTTTAGCACCAGCATGGCTGCCTTTTGGAATTTATCGAAACGTGAAGACATCGACCCCATCCAGGCCTAAAGTCTGTCTGGTTTCCTCGAATTTAATTTTGCGTGACCCCAACTAATTCTCTGAAGAACAATAGGACATTTAATCTTAGATACTGTTAGCTAATCTGATCCCATGAGATTATAAAAGGAAAATTAGTTTGTTTTCTTATAAACTGGGACATTCAGTAGTCCATATGAGTTCGATGGTACTATTTCGGCCTATCACACGAAAGGTAATGCTCTAGCTATCCTGATCAGTAGTTCATTATCCTTACCCTTACAGGTGCATAGAGTCATACCATCAGGCTCTTTTTTCTCCTCCATTTAAAGTACATATGGCTTTTGGAACATTAAACTGATTTTGACAATCAATTTACATTGATATGTATGGCTGCTAACTGTAAAAACACAGTACTTAAAGACTGTGGAATACAGTGACATCCCAGCTTTATCAGAAATATGACTTATTCTATATCGGTTTTATTTTACATGCTACAGGACCTGGAACAAAATACGAATATGAACAGACAGAAACACGCTACAATTACAGACCTTGAAAATTAAGTCGTTAGGTTTTGAGTGTGGGGAAAAAATGTCATTTACGGATTGCAGTTAGTCTTAAAGAGATAGATAAGGAAGAATACATCGCCTTCAGAACATCATCCATGTGAGATGCAGAAGGTGGAGTCTAAACCACTACTAACTTATGGGAGACAGGTGCATAAACCAGGGAGATAACGTGTAAAAACTGCTGAAAAGTAATAGTCAAGCGTACTGGGAGTTTTCATTTGGCTTAGCCGTACCTAGCAAGTTGGTTTTAATGTCTAAGCATGTTGAGTGAACTTGCGAATAAGGCCGAATTGTGTCAATATATAGAGAAATTGTCAGCCCGTTATCAACACATACTGGACTACTAAATTCATGAGACATATAGCTGTTAATTTAGCTTAAAGTCACAAGTTTTTAAAAATGTGCATACAAATTAGGAGTCTTAACTATCATTATGCCAACACCTTATTAAGTTACTTGTCTCTACATTTTCCATTATTGAGAAGTATGATATCCACATAAAATAGAATGAATGTTGGATGCTTAACAATCGTGACTAATGATTGATGATTCCAAAAATACACACCGTCGTAATGAGAAGAGGAAAACAAATTTTTTCTATACCACACTCCAAATAATAGAAGGCACGCTCAAATTCCAAATCATGCGTTTACTGACACCATGAATATACGTTACAGATAGTACAAAAATGTCTTTTTTCTGCGTTTGAATTAATTCAAACTTAAGTCAGCAATGATGAAATAAAAGTTATATTCTGCCTTTAATTTTTATCGTCACCAACTTTGTGGAACAATTGGTTGACTTGTCTGGTTTTTGAACCTCTAGTAGAAAGTTGTCTCGAAACTCACCATACAAACTACATGTGTACACATGACCCAGTACTCATAATGACACATAAATTCCATAAATATTTATTTTCAAAGAGGATTCCCGACAAGCTGTCGAAAAAATTCGTGTACAGTAAACATAGCCCCAGCACAGTTATGCTAATTAGCATTAGTTTAAACTAATTCTGATTTAAAACTTAGGCTTTGGTTGGTTCTACATATCTTTTAAATACGATATAAGGACTTCAAGGAATAGACAGTTTTATGCATAGGCAAAAGAAATTTAGCTTAGCATCACATACGAAAATGAGTGTGAATTCGTAGAGAAACCAAAATCCCTCACCAAACAATTCTCATAGAGAGCGGGTGGCCTTGAGTCCAATATCCAATATCCTGATTACGAGCTAGTATAAACCAGTGATTCCTTTGAGCGAAGTTGATTGCGAGGTAGGGGTTCCAGATCTTCGGTGAGCTTCTGCGTAGTAAGTCCCGCCACTCGACTGCTTTAGCTATGGTAGACTGCGAGAGGAGTGGTGCGGGGATTGGTCAAGATGTGGTTTGTAGTATGCAGTATGTTAGCACTGTATTGCTGCCGTGAATGGAGTTTGACCTCACTCCCGTTGGTCATTCGGTGTAGTCATAAAAGCACAATAGTAATAATAATAATGGGTTGTAGTGTAGATAATATGGGTTGAGATAAGTGGAGTAACAAAGGTGACCTAAGGAAAAGATAGGCTGAGAGAAGGTACAACAGGTCGTGGGGATTTAGTTTATACGCTTATCCATTGACAGTGTAGATTTAAGTTTTATGAAAAAAAGCCATTGAGACACAAACCTTGCTATCAATGCAGTTGAAGATTGAACGATCAATTCATGGTTGTTTGCTCAAAACCAACTTCCCCAATTTTCGCGGAGGCATCAATACGACAGTCATCGTCTCAGTGTGAGGATATACGCTATAACCAGGTGTTATCGCGCAGCGACATCGGTTACCGCGTTCACGGCTACAGGCGTTATAATCGCCTATTTTTTGGGAAATAGATCATATTTGACTAGTTTTAGACTTCTGGAGCCACACGGCATTATTTTGTTCATAGTAAAGCGTAAAATTGTATATTATAGCTCGGACGGATTATCAATGAAGAAGTCATCCTTTTGAAGAAAGTTCGCATAGAAAGAGTATTATTTGCATTATAGTGCGTTGAGGGTTTGTTTTTCGCAAGTTGTTTCAAATCTTAAGGTCGTAAATATACTGCAGGCAATGGCTGTTGTCATTCCAGTGAATCTATGAGAATTTTCTGTCTTAAAGAGAAATAGCATGCAGACATAGGTTAGATGTGTGTTTTGAACATGTCAAACACTTCTGTTATCATCCGGGATGACTGAAATATTCCGTAACACATCGACGACATTATGCGATGAATGAGACAGGCTGCCGAATTTCCTGGTGATTATATCTATTTTGATGAAGTTCCTAGTTAAAAGTGCTTGGGTGAAGATGTGATAATAGTTTAATTGACATTTGCACATGGAATTCCAGAAGGCCTTAATTGCTCAGTGCATGAAATGGCATCAGAGTATATTGACATCAGTGTTCATCGTGTCTCGAAGAATAGTATAAATAGTCCTTCTCAAATGTCAGAGTACTTAAAATGAGTATCAGCTTTCTGTTGATTAGTAGCTAGCAGCTGTGTCACACAACTACTACACCTGTTGCATAGGTTATATCAATCTTAATAATTATTTTGTTTCACATCACCAAGATATTCTGAGATCCTTAATGACTTAATTGTGGCTATGAAAGATGCACTTATAGCCCTTATATTTCAAGCAGTTATTACTAAACAAGTTATCTGTAAGCATTTTGTGATGTTCTGGTTACAATGCTTCAGTGTATAGGGTTACTGCCTGCTTCTGTGAGTTAAGGGATATTTGGTGAAAATCATGATACAATGAAGGTTCCTATAGACTCACTATGAATACTGCAAACTGTTGATAAGAAACTGCCTCAAAGGAAAAAATGCCGAACAGCTAGGAAATACTACCTCAGTCTCGATGGTTATTACCTTTTGTATTTGTAAATCATCCTTCAAAAGCTCAGATTAACGGCAAACCATCCATGGTACCCCACAGGCCCTACAGAAATTTGTGAGAGACCTTACATGTCAGGTTGTCTTAGGAATTGTAAGGTTGCAGATATTTCAGTTTACCTGTCACTGAAATATCACTTATGTACTTCACGATGTTCTTTTCATTTGTGCACTATTACACTATATTTTATCTTAACTGTGTACAGTGTTCATTGTTGAGGGTTTACAATTTAACTCTTATCATAGCCTGTTGTAGTTATTATTATTTGCTTCCTGCTATCCTTTAGAAGATGAACAATAGGTGTGACAGTGAAAACCACAGAAGAATGCTGTCATAAACGAAGAATGAGAAAGGAGAATGAACCATTTTCAGCAAAGGTAGGCAAATCTAAAGCGTTTAACTTTAATATTACTTCTTTGTTTACTTTTCTGCAGCTATCCGGTAACGTCATTCAACCCGGTCGCATTGCTTCGACATTGTCCAAAGTATTACGACGAACAACTGCGTAAAGACATGTGCTTATTATTATTTTTGATTAAATATATTTAACATCCTACTTACCAGACCTTTTTTATTTCATCTGATTGTGGATATATTTGTCATGATGACTAGATGCAGGCGCCAGTTATTAATAAGACCTGACGAAGTAATTGGTGGCATATAGTAGTGTAAGGTAAATCTAACTACGAGTGCTACAGCTGAACGAATTCAATAATTTGTCTCGTGTAGTCTGAAATTTACGCTACGTGTTAACAGCCTTAGTCATATGGAATGACATCACGCTTTAAGTGAAACATTAGTAATGCAATACTTTAGAATACACGTAACCGTATGAGAACTGGAACTCGAATGCAGTGCCTAAGTTATGCCTACTATTGTCATTTGTCCCTAAAGACTTCTATATGACTATGACCGACATCGTTCCTACGCAATTACACTTACGTATAGTTAAAGTCCTAGAGAGCACCGGTCTAGCATGCCGTGCTCAATAAGGGAACACATGAATCGAAAGACAACAAGATTGACATGAAAATTGTATTTTACTTATGATACAAATTCAGTTTATTTACATATTCAGAGTACGATTGATTCCTGCGGCTACTTCTACTACATAATTCCTGGCAAACACTTCTCCAAATTCGTCATGAATTTTCCTCAAGCCCTTGACCACAATACTTATGTAGCTTTCGAATGCGGCACTTCGATTTTGAGGGACAACAGCTGACGTGCATTGAGATGCGAACAAGTCGCGTGACCACGCCCATTGTTTGCAATTCTGCATCACATGGTTAACTACAAAAGGTGAAACAAAAAACGTAAAGATAACTATAAACTGAATGTTACACGTGCAATGATGGTAGTGCTTGTGTCTTGTTTCCAATTAAGGCAATGTACACACGAATAGTTTAATAAAAATTACAACTTTCCGTATATAAGAACATTAATTAATTAAATTTCTGTCGACATAAATTAAAAACGGAGTCATAAAAACGCAAATATACCTGTGAAATACGGCTTTCTGAAGTGGACCAAAAGCAAGTGTCGGCAGGGGTACCGACAGGTCTGAAATGTAAAGCACGTGCAGGTGCAAGCACTCAGATCAACCTGCACTGTATTCCCATTTTCTTTGAAAAATACATAATCAAAAGATTCAAACTCAACAGTAGCCCATCGTCGCCATTGGTATTCACGTATTACCTTCCTCGCGGCGTAGGGCGTCAGCAATCGTATTATTGGGATTACACGTTGTGCACATGGATAAGTGAAGCATCGCGACTGGGCAATAACCGCCTCCTGTTGTATTCTTGAAAAACTTCGTTCATACCATTTATACACCTTTAGCATACTTTTATGCAGACTATCACATCTTTGCAAATACCGTTTCATTTGCTTGTGAGAGCTCTCGACGCGATTATTGGTATCATTCCCAAAAGTCAGCACGTTGTCTCTAAAACATGCTGCCCACAATTCTCGTCTATGCATCCAACGACGTTGTAGATATTGACTGACAGTAGGATCCAATCTGCTAATGACTCTGAAATAGAAATTAAATCTGGAAAATGAGAACATTAAAGGCATTACTCTGATCTCCTTTTACACTGCACTAAGCGGCATAAGTAGTTCTTAACAATGGGATTTCTTGTCTACAAATAAAATGTGAAGTATGTTTTGAAAAACTCACTTTACGACAGAATGCTCGACAAACATGGAAAGAACACAAAACAATGTGCGCTTGTCTGTGCGTTAACTTGACGGCTGCTATTTCAGCTTGCGCACAATCCATTATGAAAGATTCGGTCTTGGAGGTGTCTTCCATTATTTGACGAAAACAATCTAATATCCAAACTACATCTCGTTTGAATTCTTTTCTAGTCCACGCAAATAAAACCGGTCGTCCACGACCGAAATTATCCGTCACAAGTAACTGGAACAGTGAATACCTGCACGTTGATTAATGGATTGGTAAACTTACTTCCCTTTATTTGTATTATACGTTGAATCGATACCAACAACTTCAGGGAACTGTTTATACATTTCGATTTGCTCATCAGTTGCAAAACAAATTCTTGTTAGTGAATTCCTGATCGGTTCATCGGAATAATACTCCATTAACTTCCCACGGGATTTTAGGAATTCAAAAATGTCACGACGACTCGAAATACCTTAAGTATGTAACAAGTACGTCAACGTTACCTTTATTAACTGCGGCTTTCATATTTTTAACGTCAATGCGAGTTATATCCTTGTGGTACTTCTCCTTAACATGCATTATTATTTCATCGGATGAGTGGGATTGCTGAAGAAGTGGTTCAACATTTTCTTTCTCTTCAACTGTTAGTCGTCTAAACCATGAGTCATTCTGCATGTACACCCTGCTGCATGGATGGTTATGTACCATATTGTGGGAAGCAATTATGAATTCACCACTACGCAAAACCACGCGAAATGAAGACGAGCAATTGCAACATTTAGACCTGAAATATTCATGAAATAATACTACACTTCTTCTTACGACTTATTTTTCAATTTCAATCCAGGTTTTGTACGATTCACTCCAAAAGTGCATTTAAAACCAACAAAAGCGTATTTAAATCTGTCATCCGGTATCGTTTTGCTATAAATATGAACATAGTGAGTGCAGGACAACTTTATTGTTAGCATTAAATGACTTCCTCACTTTTTGGAATTCTGCCAGTGACTTCTCAAATTCATCCCAGCTCAAGAAACGCCTTCCAAGTATTAATTCACCAAAAATTCCACTTAAGTCTGTGCTCCTTTCACTCGAATTTACTACCTGCAACGGACTAAAATAAATTTATCAATTAGTATCTATCTATGTCACAACTATTCCAAGATAAATCGTAAAAAAACAACATTGAAATACAGGCATGATCAATAACCATCAAGAAAATACCGCACGTAAAACCTAAATTACAGAAAAACACAAGAACCCACCGGTTCGTTGACATCGCAAGCAACCGATAGACCAAACAACGAATTGTACGACACACAAAGCCTAGTACATGCACAAACAAAGAAAAACAAAGCGTTACAATAGTCTAATTCACGTTTATAGTCATCACATATACTGGCAAACGAAGCAAACACAACCACGCCAAGACGGCACCCGACAGAACGCACCCAAGGACAATTCAAACTCCAATTGACCGCCACTGTTCTAGCCAATGAAAGACGAAAAAACCTGAGTCGCGGGAAATATAACCACGTTATAACGTATATCCTCACCCTCGTCTCATCGGTTGCTGTTCAGAAAGAAGTCAGCAGAAAACCGTCAGAAGTAACCTTGTGATTTATTATTGTAATATTTGTTCACAGACCTTAGTGGAATTGTTTTTTATATGTTGGTGTTACAATAAAGAATTCTAGAGCGGCCAATCGGTGTTTTGGTTTTTGCGTCCGTTATTACTAAGCGTTTCTGAAAAACTTCAAGGAACAGCGTGAGCCCGAGCGTAGCAAGAGCTGGGCATTAACGGTTTACGAGACGTGGCTGACAGTTTCTGACGGTGAACAGTTTCTGACGATTGAAACAGATTCTGGCGGATTCAGACAGTTGGTGAAAGTTTGGATAGTCACCGTTCATCTTTCCTGGTGCCGGTCAAGTCCTCTTTGAACAAGCAATATCTGGAACCTTTTTGGAATTGAGTCAAGTTCAACAATGCCTGGGTCAAAGAAGGGACAGAGTGTCTTGGATGCAAACAGGAAAGTAAGTCATGGTGACTTGTCTGTTAATTGTAACGATGTGTCTGATGTTAAGCATGACATGGTTGATGTTACTGTTTCGCCGTTCAGGGATAATAGGAACATCAAACTCCCTAAATTTGAACCACGGTGTCTCGACGGAAACCCAGCTGATTATTTACAATTTGTAAAGGAGTTTGAGATCATGTTGAGTAGTTTTTATTAAGTGATGAATTGAAATTGATGTATTTGTTGAGGTATTGCACTGGAGATGCTTCAAGAGCTATACAGTGCTATAAGCTCATGCCCCCTAATGAGGGCTACTACGAGGCTATGAGCATATTACGTCAAAGGTTTGGAAGACCTTCGATGATTGCAAGGAACGTATACGAAGCTGTCAAAGGTAACGGCAGTCAACTTCAAGATGACTCCAAGGCACTTACTGAGTTTTTGGATAATCTTATGACTTATAAGAATACCTTGATTTCGATGAATTGCATGAGTGACCTCAACTCGAGTTTTATACTAGAAGTAATAGCAAGACGCCTACCTACTCGACTGCAAAGGAAGTGGGTGAAGATAAGCTCCCGTATGGAGGATGAGGGTATCGAGCCAAAATTTGATGATATCCTGAAATTAGTAAAAGATAGTGTCAATCAATCTGTGAGCAAGTTTGCCAGTATATTGAATCTCACCCCTAGAATAGAGCAGTCTGAGAGCAAAAGGCAATCATTGATGACGAATAGGCCTCAGAGAGGTGGATATCGAGAAGACTCCATGATGTCTAGTAATGCATATAGACCTAGTGAGTGTAACAGGTTTCGTAGTACATCCTCAACAGATAAGTTACAAGATGCAAGACAAACACGGTTGTTTTTTACAAGTTTGCAAGAGGTGCATACAAAGGTGAACTGTGAACCAGTGAGCAAGTTCAGTGATAAGCTAAATGTAAACTCCAGGTCTGACTCCGAATTGTGTGACGATAACGGTGTTGTGAAGAAGTCTGTAGTTGCAACTGGTAAGCCATTGTTGAATAGAGTGTCACAGAATAGAGTTGCTGCTTCAGAGTCCAGTTCTGACTCCAAAAGTTTACAAGGTATTACTAGTCAGAGTGAAGTTATAAAACCTTTTATGATTTGCGGGGAGGAACCAAAATTGTCTACTTCTGTTATTAAAGAGTTTGAAAATGATGAAGTTGACGGTAAAGTGAATATTCGTGATAATGATCATGATACTTCACAGTTGTCTTTGGTTGATCATTATGAAATGAGGGATATGCCTACTACTGCTAAGTTAAATAAAGGTTCTGTACAACTACAACGTGAAGTAGAATTGAACGCAGATGCAGTTGCAGATGGCATGCATACTTGTGAGACCGTCAGTGTAATTGATCAGCATGTAGCCCACCTATCATCAGATGATAGTGCTAAACCCGAACTAGTAGTGAAAGACAGCAGTGGTGGTAATCTTGCAGTTGGACAACTATCTGAAAGCCGAAAAAGAACAGCTTCTGATCCACCGCTAACTTCATCACCTTGTGTCACTCAGTCATCGTTGGTGTTGTCATCCACAATGAAGAAGACGCCCATCAACTCTAGTATCTTCTGCAATGACTATGGTAATATCAGTTCGTTTGAAAGGACGAATATCAATGGTCAGTTTAGTGTGGATAAGCCAAGTGTAAAGGAGAGAGTTATTGTTAAATTGACTTGCACGAATAAAGGCATTTCTAGTTTCAAGTTACTATTTGAATGTTATTATCTTTGGTGTAAATTACTCTGTTTCTACACTTGGTTGATGAGATATGTTGTGTGTTTGTTGGTCATCTATATTCTACGATACAATGACATGGGCGTGTTGCCGTTCAGATTTGAGGATATAGCTGATAGAAGGAAGTTAGCAAATGAACTCTGCGACGATTTTCCAACCTAGAGCGTCAACCTGAGAAGGGTTGTAGGCGTACTGCTGTAAGTCCTACAGTTCTTCAAAGGGTAGCGCATCAATGAGCAGTCCAATGTGCTTGGTGTATGATCTTGTACATATGTTCATATTGTATATACTGAATTGATATCATTTATCATCTAGCTGTTGGTAATTCTGTTTGTGTCCGGACGACTTCCACTTGGATCATCAACCTGAGAAGGAATGTAGGCGTACTGCTGTAAGTCCTACAGTTCTTCAAGGGTAGTTTGTCGTGCCAGAATCCACAACATTTGATGTGTTGATTGTACATATGTTTGTGTTAAATAATTGTGTGAGTTCCAATTATTGTAATTGTTGGTTAATCTTGTGTGTGTCCGGACATTCCACAACTTACAATCGTCAACCTGTGAAGGTTTGTAGGCGTACTGGTGTAAGTCCTGCAATTCTTCAAGGGTATTCCATCAAGATGTGATCCACGAGTTTGTGTGTACTGTCTGCATATATGCGTGGTGTGTGTATCAATTGGTGTTTTTGGATTCATTGTGTTTACTCGTTGTTTTCGTACCTTGTTGTTATTGCGTAAATTTGTTAAAATTTTCGTCGTGATTACTTTCGAAGTTGTGTCCACTCTTCTACATCCGTAAATGAATTGATTGATGTTAAAGACAGCAGATGGGTCGTATACGCCGGGGAGGCTATTGCTGAGAATGACATGCACACGGAGATAATTGTTAGCTGTGGTCCGACACGCCGGGGAGAAAGAGTGTAAACGACTGAGGCTCGCATACGTCACCGTTACTAGAATTGAGGCAGAATGAGTGACAAGCGATTTCAGTGATAATTGGTAGTGAGTAGATAAGAGGATGAGCGTAGAGTATCGTGAGGTGCTGCTATGGTCACGTTGCATTCTGCAAGAGTCATTCTAGCAAGTGGCGATTGTGTTGCAAGAGGATGCCTTTAACTGGAAGGCGCAGGTCGTCATTGATGTGTGAGATTGTGCTGTGAGTATGCTTGCGGTGTGTTGGCTTTTCTGTTTGTTTTCCATTTCAGCTCTGTCCATGTGACTGAGGTTCTCGCAATGGCATCCAAGTCAACGTGTATTGGTCGTAAAGAAAAAAAGGGATGGATCCCTTTTTTGCCGGGGAGTGTCAATGGAGTTGA